TACATCACAAACAGAAATATAAGCAAAAATATAATGATTTTATAAACTTCTGACTAACCACAAGACACTTTAATGAAACCATTCCAGCAGTTTTCCTTCTTCATTACCAGAGGAGCTGCTACAGTGACTGGACTTGTGGAGTTCACAGCTGTGGGGAACTCCTGCCATTAGTACTGTCCCAGAGTCAGAGTTTCCTGATATTTCAGTTCTCTGCCCTGAAGCCACAGGAACCCCAGCCCCAGTGATTCAGCCCAGAGCCAGAAAAAACTCTCAACTTTACTTCTAATAGGACTCTCAGGACAGTTGGGCTTTCACCCAAAAAAAGCCAGAAGCACAGGAGCCCAGACTGCCAAACCTTGAAACTATTGCCCAAGTCCTCATTCCAAATTTCCAGATTCCTCTGTCTCTGTCCATCTAGCTGACAGAAAACAGGGAGATGGGAACTTGAAGTTTCAGGAGCCGCAGCTGAGGCAGGACCCTCAGAGCTTGGGCTCTCAAGCTTGGTGTTTTTCAAAGTAATTTAAACAAACTATGTGACCTTTAGAAAGATTTTTCTGCTTTCCTCTCTAAATGAAACATATAACATTTCAAATTAAAGGCGATTTTTTTTTTTTTTAAATAATTGAATCTGGAAATGGAACTCTAGTTTTGAGCATCTACAGCACAGAATCCATGGCTATTTCTTACTATGGTCTATGACACAGAGTAATCCCAATAAGACCACAGAATTTTAGAATATTTTAAGTTGGAAGAGATGCATACAGATCACCAAGCCCAACTCCCTGCTCTTCAGGTAGAAAACTACCTGAAAAGGAATCACTGGATTCACAAGACATCCTACAGTATATGCAAGGACTCAGAGAAAAGTGTGATGGTAAAGAGATATGGAGAGATTTCACCCTCAAGTAAGTGGTTCTGAAAAAAAAAGAAAAAAGCTTTTTTCCTCTTTACAAAATAAATGTGTTTCAGAAATTCAACTCAAATTCCAGTTAAAACAAGAGCAGAGTCACTCTCCCAAGAACCCAAGTCTATCTGCTTTATCTAGCTGTGTTCTTGATACACAGGGGCGATGCATCCCCACTGGGACCTGGAATACCATAATTTCTCAGAATATTGTAATTTCATTATATCATAATTTCCAAGCCTGCTCCAACACTGCAATATTGATCCTCATGGCATGCCAGGTATTTGCCACCTATGTGAAAGGTTGGAATTCAGCTCTGATGAAGACACATGTCACATTACATGGGCTAAGCTTTTCACAAGTGAGGTGACCACATGGAAAGCTTCCCCGTGAATCACAAGAATATGTAAATCTGTGCCATCAAACAACATCTGTGGGCAGTTTATGAATAATTTGATGCTACTGTTTGCTTCTATCAAACCTGGTGCCATGAAATCACTCTGCCCAGATTCTGCACCTATCTGTCAACTCCTGTGATAACTGTATTTCCAAAAGAGACTCCAGATGCTACACATAACTACACATTTCCTCTTTTGTTCAAACTGCTGGGGAGTCCCTGGACCCAGAATCATAGAATCATAAAGGCTGGAAAAGGCTGGAAAAGGCCTCCAAGATCACCAAGTCCAACCTTTGACTGAGCACCACCATGCCAACTTAACTAGAGCACTAAATGCCATGTCCAGTTGTTTCTTGAACACTCCACAGACAGTGAACACTCCTGGACAGTCAGTCCCAATGTTTTAACCATCCTTTCACTGAAAATATTCTTCCTGGTGTCCAACAGGTCTTCAAACCTGAAAGCAAGTTTATTGATGCAGCTGAATTCCCTTGCAAAATATGTATAACATAAAATAATTTGAGAAACAGTAAGTTCAAGTGCATGCCACAGTCAGCCTCACACTCTTGACACATTCAATCCACACAATACAGGTACCCAAGGACATATCATTAAATACACAATAATACCTATTAATTAAAGTAATGGTGTAACTAAGTACACTCTGTTTATCTCCCAGGCAAATCTAGAACAAAATCTAGCTACACTCAAACAGTGTGGCAAAAATAGCTCCACTTTTTAACACTTTCTAACCCTTTCACACATAATTGAACTGTAACCCAAAAGATTCTTACTTACATCCCATAAAGATTCTCATTTATGTCCTACAAAGATTCTCATCACTTCTGAAGAAATAAAAGAATTTATTCAGCTCTCTTATGGCATCATCATGCTTAATTATTTATAGTAATGAGCCTCATGTGACAGAATCCAGGTGGCCTTAAAAACTGATGTGTTTATTATCCATATTTCCTATGTGAATGTTTTTACTTCATAAGTATTCCCTTATCTCTGTTTATCAGGGGCTGGAAGTCACCTGAAGTTAACATTGAACTGGTATATACTAACACTGATCTTAACTCTGCATTATTAAAATTAAAATAAAATTCTGTATCAACCAAGAAAAAAATATTTCATTAGAAAAGAGGCCAACTTGTACTTTTAAAGACTGGAAAGGAACATTAGATCAAATCAGGTCTTCTAGCAAAAACCCTGGGAATCAGCAATTTCTATTCAGAGGTTTTAAAGAACATTCAACCTTCTTCAAGGTTGCTTATACATCTTTACATCACCCCATCACTACAGAGCTTGAAGTTTTGAGCACTTCATATTACACAAGGTCAACAGCACATTCCACAGACTCTCTGGGAAATGTCTCCATCACAGATCCAAGTAAAATTTCTGTGTAGAAACAGCTCCTCACACACTGTCACTTCTTTCTTAGTTTGGCAGCTTGATCTAAAGCCCATTTTGGGAAATCTTTCTCTAATGAATATACCCAAACTCACCTCCTCTGAGAACCAGAACAGATATTTATGCCTACGCAGGGGAAGAGACACACAGACCTCCTGCTCTGTCCTTAGGCCACTACAGTTCTGCCAGTGTAACACCCTGTGAGGGATCTGCTTGGGAGTAAAAGTGACTTTATTATGATACTGTTATTCTGCTGCAGACCAGAATCTGAATTTCAGAATTTCAGAATGAAGTTTGTGTATTGCAAAGCAGAACTCTTCTCTAAAACTATAAAGCAAGGATACTGTATCTCAGGAGTACACCCTTATTTCACTCACCAACATGAGTGAGGAAGCCCAAGCTGCACCACAGGCATTCCCTCCTCAGGTAGATGTGGCTCAAGCCTTGGTTGGGAAAACCTTCGGTCAAATGAGAGTGGCAAGACAAGAGGCAGTCGTGAGTTGACTTCAAAAATGCACTTGAAGGGAGAGGAAAGAGTCTTTCTGTCTTCTCAGGAATTTATCTGATGTGCTACGTATCCATGCCAAACTCCTATTTAGTTCAGTGCTGCTGTTTAAGAACTCAAGTGTAAATATGAAGAGACTCGCTTTGTTTGGTGAAAAACAGGGCCTAGTTGGTATAGAGACACCAGTGCTCATGAGGAACCAATGAAATACTTCTTCCCCTTTCTCCCTCCTAAGGGGACTCTTTGGGTACGTGCCAACTTTTCCTCAGTTTCTGGGATGAGCAGCCAGTCCCTGGTAAACCCACCTCTGGCTTTGGTTATGCAGGTGCCCTTTGCCTCCAAGTCAGTGGCTGCAGCTGCACCTCAGCCCCTCTGAGGGCTCACCCCGGGCTGGGCTTCTCTGGGCTTGTGTCTTTTCCCTCCATACCACCCCTGCTGGCCCTCCCTTTGTGGATTGCAAAGAAATTGAAATTGAAAACTGATATTGACTCAGAAATTGAGTCCTGGCCTCACAGGCGCTTTCTTGCCACCAGGCACCAGGTACTTGGATCTTCCTGCTCTTCCCATACACAGCTCTCCCGTTATCGGCACACCGGGACCACTCCCTCACAGCTTCAGAGATGGCGCCGTGCCGCCATCAGGTTGTACCTTGGTCATGCTGGCCACACACCGAGGGTCTGCCAGCTGGCGGCACCTTCGGGGCAGCCACAGCACCGAAGCCCGGCTGCAAGAAGCCACCGGGAGCTGGGGGCAGCTCCCGCCGTCGACGCCCGCTCCGCGCCTCTGGAACCTTCCGTGGCCTTGGGGACGAGCTGTGGGGGCAATGGGCGGGCGCGGGCGAGCCGACCCCGAGGGAGCCCTGCCTCGGACGCCTCGGCCGTCGGGAGCGCAGGACCCACCTACGGCGCTCGCCTTCCGCGGGCATCGCCGCGATCCCACCCGGTTCCCGCCGAGAGACGGGAGCGGGAAGCCGCCCGCCCCCTCTCTCTCCCTCCCTCCCTCCCTCTCTCCGCCGGCCCTCCGGGAGGCCCGGCTCCCGCTCCCCCGGGGGGAAGGGGGCAGCCGGACCCCCCGGCGGGGGGATCTCCTCGGGGCGGGGCCGCCGCCGCTCCCTCCCGGCGGGCGCGGCCCCCGCGCCGCTCCCGCTCCCGGCGGGCCCCCACGGGCGGCACGCGCGGCCGGTGGATGCCGCCGGGTGACGTGCAGGGCGCGCGGTGGCAGCACCTCCCCGCGCGCCGCTTAAAAAGAAGAAGAAAAGAGGGAGCGAAACATGAGAGCCCGGACGAGCCGCAGCCGCCGCCGCCGGCAGCAGCAGCAGCAGCGGAGGGGGCATCGCCCGGCCCGGCCGCCGCCGCAGTCCCGCCGCGGGGACACCCTTCCTATGGGACGACAAGTGAAGGGCTGCTGCCGCCGCCCGCTGCCCGGCCCGCCCCGAGCCTCGGCGCTTCGGCGCGGCAGCGGCAGCTGCTAAAACCTGTGCCGCTCGCACAACTTCGCCGGCTTCGAGCATCCTCCCGCCGGGCTCGGCGGCTCGGTCCCCCCCGTTCCTGCCTCTTCGCGTCCACCTTTTTGGAAGAAGCGGGGGTGGCCGAGGTGCTGTTCCTCCGTCGGCTCTTTAACCGCCGCTGTTATTATTCTCCTCCAGACTTTCCCCTTCTGGGGGAGGGAGGTGGTTTCCTGATCTGAAGTGCAAAGAAAAGTCAGTGGGATTCCCCTCCTTCCTTCTCCCCCCACCCACCCCCCCCACCCCCGTTTGGGTGCATTCACACGCTCCCTCAGGCATGATGCTCAAGATGCTGCCGTTTAAGCTGCTGCTGGTGGCCGTGGTTCTGTGCTTCTTCGAGGGGGATGCCAAGTTTGGGGAGAGCGGCGCCCGGAGGAGAAGGTGCCTCAACGGGACCCCGCCGCGGCGGCTGAAGAAGCGGGACCGGCGGGTGCTGTCCCCGGAGGCCCCGGGCGGCGGGGAGGCGATGTGCCGCGGCCTCTACCCCCGCCTGTCCTGCTGCTCCCGCTCCGAGGCGCAGGGTCTGCCGCTACCCGAAGCCAAGGTAGGCACCACCTGGGGCTGCGCCGGGCTTTGCGGGAGGTTTTTGGCGTTCTGGGCTGGTTTTTTATTATTTTGCGCCGAGCCGCGCACCGGCCGCGAACCTGCCGCGTTCCCACGCGGGCGGCGGGGGCGATGCCGCGGCGGGGGGCGAGGGCGCGGCGGGAGCGGGAGCGGCCGCGGCTCTGACGCTGCCGCGGGAGGCGCGGGGAGCCGGCTCCGCTCCGCAGCCGGAGGGGACACGGGCGCCCCGCGGGGGGAGCGCGGTGCCGGCTCTGCCTCCCGGTTACTTTCTGCCCGCAGCGCCCGAGGGTCCGGCGGCGGCGCCGTGCCCGCGCAGCGCGGCCGGGCCGCCCGCAGGTACCGGCGCTGCTGCGGGAAGGGCGGAGGAGCCGGGCGGCAGCGGTGGCAGCGGACGGGCTGCGCGTTCGCCCGGCGGTGCCATCCGGGCTGGGCTTTTCCTGGCGTGAGAGGTCGTGTCCAGTTTGCTCCACATGCTCGCTTCGGGAGGGGGTTCGGATAGTGGCTTGGTGCCGGTGTACCGACATTCCGTGATCTCCGGCCGCCTCGGGGCCCGTGTGCTACTCACGGTTCCGTGTGTCAGCGGCGAAAGCCCCCGAAGTGTCCGCTGTGGAGCCCCGGTGTCCCGGCTCTCGCCCAGGGCCGGTGTCTCACCAGGTGCCCCGAGATACTCTGCCTTTGCACATTACCTGGCAGCCTCTCTGCCCAATTTCAAGCTGCGGTCATGTGAAGGGAAGCACCTCCTCTGCTCACCGATTTTTTAAAATTGTCAAGTTCTCTGCATCCTTTAGCAAGTTAAATTCTGCTTATCAGCCTGTTGCTTAGATTTTCAAAGGCGTGGGTACCTAACCAGGCAGGACTGTGTTTGATAAGCTGCGCTGTGCTGGCCAGTGCTGCAGCCGGGGGTATGCACGGGGAGGGAAGTTGCTGAATAATGTCATTAAGAATCACTGCACATGAAATAAACAATCAGGTGCCTTTTAAAAAAAAATGATTATTACTTTTCCTTTTCTTTTATTCCCTTTTGTTATTTTGGGGTGTTTTTGTAACATTTCATCCTCCTTTAGGTTTAATTAAGAATTCCTCAGTTACAACTCTCTAGTTGTCAAGGTCTGAGAGACTCTTGGAAAACTTGTGTTTCAGTCTTGCTGGCCCAAGCATAATAAAAAAAAAATACCCAGCCTGAATCGAATTTTTATGCTCAGTTCACGGTAGATTTCACTCCATTCTCATGTAAACAGCTTCTACGAATCAACATATGTGTCTGGGTGGTATCTCTCACTTTGTTTTGTAACAAAAAGCCATATTGCATCATTTAATTTGCTCAAGTCATGCAAATAGGAAAAAATCAATAGGACAAAAAGGGGTCGACTTATCCTCCTCCCCACTAAACTGCTGCCCACACACAGAGTCCTGTTGCTTATGGCAAAAGAATAACAACAACACCATTGTGTTTGTTAGTTGGTTCACTAATGGGTGAAACTGGAGAACATCATTCTCCTTCAGTCCCCAGCTCTGTCCAAATGTTCATGCCTTTTGAGGGAGCATTTGTCCTACCCCCTCTATTCCCAGATGATTGAGAACTGTCTTACTGCAGGTTTTCAGCTGCAGATCTCTCTTTATTCATACCATATGCAGCAGCAGTTTGAGATTCAAGGCAGATATATTTCTTCATGTTGTCTAGAGACAGTGTCATTAGGCTCCTGTGTGATGATTGAATTAAACTATAACCACACACAGATAACCTGAAAGATCTAGCTGGGGGAAAAAAAAAGGAAAAAAAGAAGGGGGAAAAAAAAGGAAAAAAATAATAAGGACTGGAAAATATGTCCTTAATTCACCCTGTTTGCAATGTCTCAGTGGCATATATACTACTGAGATTATTCAGTGCTTGGAGACCCTTGTGGTAATTGGTTGAATGCAATAAACTGGAAGTGCAATTTTGGTTAGTTTTTCATCCCCAGGCAGTTGAAGTGTTTATTCTCTTCTTACTATTACTTTAAAAGATCTTTTAATTCCTTTTCAGTGTGTTTTTTTTTCTTACTGACGGTACAAAAATCTGATGTAAATGTGAGGAAGTGACCACAGTACCTATTCCTGAGCTGTTGAACCCATTTCGTATTTTCTTTAAAATATAAATTACATTTTTAAAGCAATGTTATTGTACAGGGTTGTAAAATCAGACTTTTTTCACTGAAGATTAATTTTAATGAAACTCACAAATCTGCTTTATCCTATCTGATAAAGATATATGATTAAAAATGTCAAAATATATGTAATTTATAGTTGACAGAATGGGGTGGTCATTCTGTAGAAGACTTGGCATAGTATTATGGTATACATTTGAATGTAACTTTTCTAAAAGCACATTTTTTTAAACTGTGTTCTACTACAGTTCCCAAACCAGCTTTTTTAAACTCCATCATCTACCTACATGATGGAGAGGCCATGCCATTAACAGAAATCTGAGCACTGCCATCTTTAAAAAAAAAATAAAATTAATTGACCATGCTTAGTAGACATTCTAATAAGAGCCTCTTGGTTAAGATGCTGGGTCTGTGAGAATTTTTGACCAAATTATTGATCTGTGCTTATAAATGAAAACACCACCTGCAGTTTTGGGAACAATAATGGAGCTCCCGTAAAGAGCAGATACAGCACTGCACTGGCTCAAGAAAAATATTTGCATCCTGTTGTTGACATTTAACTCTTTTATTTTTCTGGCAATATCCCCTTGTTCATGAAGGGCTGCTACATCCCAGCCAAACATTGCAATATCAATTTTTCTAAAAGTTTGCTTACAGCCTGACAGGCAAAGAAGTCCTCTCTACCTTGGATGGTTTCACAGCCAAGGCTGTCAAGGAATGGGTGAAAAGTAATTGTTTTCAAGTGTGCCCTTTTACAATCATTTGTTTGCTCTGGCTCTTTCATGAACAAAGGCTATTGTTGAACACATCCAACTAAACAAATAACTCATCTTGGGGTCCCTTTAACAGCTGCCTTAGTACAATGATCTATTTAAATATTACCCTAAAATTGAAACTGAACTCTTTAATGACATAATCCAGCACTGTAATACAGAAGAGGCATATGTTCAACTCAACAGCTGAACAATCTCATCAGCACATGATTTTTAGACATAAATGCTTGTATATCAAATATGGCTTAATGCAATGACTTATTTCAATGGTTTCTTCCTTCTGTTAGCATCAAAATTCTACTGTCTTTCTCTAACTAGATATGACAGAGTACACAAAACAGATGACAATATTAGTTGTAAAGAATTTCTGTCTCTTGTGTCATCTTCTGTTTCTTCTTCTTTGCACTCTTCCTTCTCTTGATAAACCAATTTAGTATGCTGTGCTTTCCTGTGCATTCCAGGATTTATCTTACCTTTAGTCTACCCGTTCCACTTTCATGTGGCTAGAGATTAAAGGATGATCTTACAGATGTTGTAAATTAGTCAGCAGCAGGCATAATCATTATTAGGCATGTTGCAATAAATGTTTGGAAGTTTTACATATTTTCCAGAGCGCAGTTAGTTTAAACCACTGCAGTTTGATGGTTTCACATACGACTTTAAAAATTGAAGCAGGAAATTAGTTTACATTTCTTCAAAAGACCAAAGCCATTGTCAACTTTAAGGTCATTTTCAAAGTAGACATCCAACCGAAAAAGCTTTATTTAAATAAGTATTTCAGAATATGCTTAGAACTGGTTTAGAATACTCCAGGATAAATACATTATTGATTTACTGAAATTCAGAATAGAGACTTGTCCTATCTCCAAGCCAGTACAGAGTTACACATCAGACCTCACACAGAGCAAATGTTACCACCCTATTTTGCTTGAGCATTCTAAAAGTTAAGTAACATTGTACTTGATTTTCAGATAATTGATTGACTCTCATTCCTTAATCTTCCGATTAGCTATTATATGACCAAGATTCATTCCAGAAATGACATGAGGGGGTGAATTCCTGTGGTTAATTCCTGGATAGCAGCTGCTCAGGGGGATTAGGATCCTTTTGTCTTAACTTTGAGGACTGAAATGTTGGCAAGCTTGTATCACCAGGCAACCTCAATTACGTTTTCCACAAGAAACAGTAAATTAGCTTTGCCATCCTGTAATTTATTTTTCCCCCCCTGTTCACAATGTGTTCTGGAGCCTTCCAGTAGAAGTACAGTTTTCTATCTGCATCTCTGTGGAGTTAATTCAATAAACACACTGAATATTTACCTAGTAATACCTTGTGTTTACTTGTACTTCTAAACATACCATCACACTGTTACCACAAGAAAGTCTGAGATGAACTCCCTGATGAAAACTTCTGAGACTTCTGCAAACCAGGTGGTACTAGTGCATGTAGGCAAGTACTTTGAAGGGTCTGTACTCACAGTCCTTTGATGCAAGCACCAAAATGGGTCATTTCATCCTTACTTCAAGAGACAAGTGACACGATGTTCTTAAAAAGTAGCATTTATGGATAGTGGTTTTGCTCATCCCTTGTTGGCTTCAGACTTGTCCTGTTTGGCAGCCAATGACCTGATTGAATTATACAGGCCCCTTCCCTGTGTCAGAATCATAGCATCCCTTAGGAAAGTTCAGCTAGTGCAGAACATGCATGGATTGCTGCAAGCATGTCAAGTCTCTTCTCTACTACCTGAACTGCAACCCTCAGCAGTATTCAAGTTGCAAGTTTTAGTTGTTATGTATTCTGGTTATAATTTCTAGTAGTTATTATTGTATTTTTACTTCTTGTCATCAAGATTTACCATATCTCAAAACAACATTTGAAATTCGAGAAAGAAGACTGAGGTTAAGAATTCTACTGCTATGGCCCAAATGGGCAACCTAGCAAAAGGAATCTAAACTTTTTCAGGAGAGAAGAGCCTGTGGCCATGGAAGAAATTCCTGAAAGAATTCAGGACTAAGGCAAACCTTTTGCCATACAGGCAACACGCACAGTTCATTTCTGTCTGATTGATTACTGTCTTAAAGCTTAAAAAAAAAAAAGACAAACCTTTTACAAAATATGTGGGATAATTACATTCTCAAGAAAGGTTTGAAGAGAGATAATAAACTATATGTAGCAGATGTTAACCACATTACTTGCCTGCAGGTGCTATGAAGCTGAGGATAGTTTGACAGCAGATAGTCTGAAGAACAGAACATTTATTGCATTTAGTGATCCTGGCAATCCTGGAGGAATTATTTTTGAAGCCAATGGCAGCATATCCAGAATAAGGGTAGAAGCCAAATGGTGTTCTTTTAATCAGTGGTCCAACTTACAACACTAAACTTTAGTGCACATTTCAGATGGTCTTTTGACAATATATGTATGGTAAGACTAAATTTTCCTGGAGAGAAAATGCCTTCTAAATTAAAGTTGTTATAAATAGGATGTTGTTTAAATGTATGGGCCATATATTGTGTCATATTTTGAATACATACCTGTTTTAAACAATTGAAAGTGCATTTCTCTCAAGCATTTGAGGTCTATGTAATTATGCCCCGTAAATAAAAAGCCGAGTTCAGACCTGTGTTATCAAAGTATAACATCCTAGAAGAGAGCTGACCTATGAGACATCAAACTCAAGCATATCCAGAGTGTTCCTGCACTAAATAACTTATTTATCAAAAGCAACTTAGATAATTCCCTTTAATGTAACATGGCAAGGGAATGACATTGGAAAGTCCTTCTGTAAATCAGCCCAGAGATAGATACAAACTATAGAAAAACTAACAATATTTTCAAATGTGTGTTTGTAAATATTTACAAATTTCATACAATACATATATTTATGACATCAATATTTCTTAACATAAGTGTCGCACAGTCTCTGTTTATAACTGTGTTATATAAATAGCAGAAAGAACCTGAGCTTTGTTTTTGCACTGGAATGGATTCAGACCTTCTCAACAGAGAGAACACTTTTCCCACTGCCCACCATTAGGATGAATGACCAAAAAACAATCCATGTAGTTAACAATAGATTAATAAAGTACACGCATTCAAAAGCTAATAAAGACAACTACGCTGTTTTCCATTATTTTTCATGATTTGATGACATTGCACTACTTCGGCTCCTGTGTTTACTTAAACACATCATCAGTTGTGGTTTCGTGCCTCTTTAAGTGCTATGCATCCATAATATATGCTTTTTTAGAGGACAAAGTTACTGTTTCCATATTGACACAAAGAAGACATTACAAATTCTACTTTTGCACTTAAAATAGAAAAATGTCTGAAGACAAACAGGGTTTTCCACCTCCAAATAGTGTGCATTAGAGAGAGCAAAAAGCAGAGCAGCATTTAAAGCATGAAAAATCCATGGCGCCTGCTGAATTCCACAGCAGTCATTTCAGCAGCCAGGCTTTGTGTTGTTCAAGGTACACCTATTTTACAAATACCTAAACATGGTTTTCCGGATGTGTTCTGATGCAAGAATTTTAAGTTTTAGTCTCTAAACACTTGAGTAGGCCACCTTACAAGTCAGGATTCTAGGTATTTCTTGTCAGAGAAGTGGGTAGGGTGTAATTCCCTCTTGTGTAAATGATTCCTCTAGTTCAGAAATTGCCTATGTGATGGCGGGCACGGGTCCTTAAAATAACTTGAGTACTGTTGTTCTTCTCTGAGAAGCAAGCTCAGACAGGAAATCTTATAGAAGATCTTGTAAGAAGCCTCTGTAAGAAATCAGAGAAATTAAAATCTCACTGTACCAATGGCATATTGCACATTTCATAGTAATAACTTCTGCACCTCCAGAACGGTGACGTGAAACTCGATGCATTGATAGTAACTGTATTGGTTCCATTAGGTTTATTTATGGCATGAGGCCATGCAATCTTTCTTTGTGTAGGATGGGGACACGGGTCACAGGTTTACTTGTCTCTGGTTTGTGGCTTGCAGGTCCTTTCTGTTACCAACAACACAGAATGTGCAAAGCTGCTGGAGGAAATCAAGTGTGGACACTGCTCACCTCACGCTCAGAACCTATTCCACTCAGCTGAGAAAGGGGAAACTCCTGAAAAAGAACTAATGCTTCCCTATCTGTGCAAAGACTATTGTAAAGAGTTCTATTACACCTGCAGAGGTCACATACCAGGTAAAACTCGTAACAAAATATGGGGCTAAATGATGTCCTGATATGTTGATATTGTCTGAGCAGTTGTAGATCCAGCTTCTAACCAGGAAAAATCCCCACTGATATCCAGGGGAATTTGCTCAAGCAGGGATAGAATGTCTTCCCAGCACATCTTGTGTAGGGAGGTAAATAATTTGAGGGCTTTCTTGCCACCCTCCTGTTAAACTCACCATGAAACACACACGGTTTGATTGTTGTCAAAGGCACCTGAAACTGTTACCTTTGCTGAAATATTATTGTGTTCATTCTGATCATGCAAACAAGCAGCTGGCCATCCAGGAGGCTATTCTAAATGATAGTTTGCTTTAAAATGCAAGAAATAAAAGGTCCTGGCTGTTTGCTGTAGCCTCTAAAAGCTGATGAGTAAAGTGTTTTTTCTGGTTTTGTTACCCTAGAAACTGATGTTTTTTCCACAGGGTTTAAAGCCCATTGAAATCAAAGGGCCCTATTTGACAGACTTCTGTGATCTTTGAATCACTTCCAGCGTGCTGTTAACAAGCAAATTCTTGACTTACCTAACACTTCCTCGCTGTAGTCAGTGGAGTTTGCTGGACATAACCAAAAGCAGAGTTTGCCCCGTGCTGTCTGAGGCAGTCACCAAATGTGTGCTATCACTTGTAACTATATCAACAAAATAACCGCAGAGGATGGCTCTTTTAGAAACACTGTCTTAAGACACTATTATGTTAAATAACATCTTTGGTATTCCCAATAGTAAATTATTTATATGTTTAAGACTGTCATTTTTAAACTATGCTTTTTTCCCTGTCCAAACACTACTTATAAACAATGCCACACAGGAGAAAATAATTAAATAGGTTAAGATTTCTTTTTTTTTTCTTTAAACTAGCAACACAGACTGGAAAAAAAAAACTTGATAATGGAATGAAAAATGAATTTGTGAATAGTCACTTTTAACATATGAACACAGTTTGTAATATAATATAAACATATTTGAGTAAAGGGGATAGTTTAAGTGGATGGGATTTGCAGGATAGTTTTTTAATTGCATGTTTACAGTGTGTACTTGTTTTCCCTGAAACCCCAAGAGTGCAGGGATTTTTTTTGCAGTGCTCTTTTATTGACTTGAGAAAACATTTTGAATTGACTTACTTTTTCCTTTTACTGTGGTTTAACATGTATCTCAACCCATTCAAATATGAAAATATTATTATTGTCTTTATAAACTAAGAGATGTTTCTAAGGCTTTCTTAAACCAGCTGTTTCTTGCTCTTTATCACATTCCCCAAAGCAAAGCAGAATAGATCATAGTTGCCAAGACTGCCTGCTGAACAGCGATAACAGATTAGATATTCTAAATGTTTGGCCCATATAAGAAGTCAGCACAAAGACATTTTTGACATGAGTTTGTAGCTAGCACAAATGATTTTCATATTCTGCACAACAAGACCCTCAGAGTTGTTTTGTGACATTCTGCGTTTATGAGGAAACAATTTATTTAATTGAAAAAAGTGAAAGAGGGAAAAAGGGGAAAGAAGGAGGAGGTGGAGGGAGGGAGAATGAGAAAGGGCTGAGCAGCACAGGAGCTACAGCCACAGGAACCTCGCTCCTCAGATCAACATATGTGGTGACGAATGACAAATTTATTTTTCTACAAAGTTTGTGTATATGTAAAACTGCTGAAGTGCATCAAGATGTCAAGTGCTTTTTGTGACCACCCAGGTTGCCTTGAAAGATAACCAGATGAAAGCATAACTTTAGCACTGGGCAGAGCACTGTGCTTTGCAGCAAAAGAGCTTACATACTTTAGCATCAGTTAAAATAGGATTTTTCCTACATCAATCAGATGCTAATAATTGTTCTAAATACTTGTCCTGAAAGTAGGTTGTACTAACAAAAACTTGTTGCATGCTTACATCCACCAACAGGATTAATTTGGTGAGTTGACTGGTACTCATGGTTGTTGATACCTATTCTTGCATTTCCCAAAGGTATTCATTAAGATTCAGGTCCCTCTTTTTGAGAAGATGACCTATAGGATTTTAATATAGTTTCATAGTCTTGTACATTCTGAAACATAAGTAATTAAAATAACTTATTTGGGGTTCTGTTTTCCTTGTGAGACTTGTATATCCGTAATAATATTTATTGCAAAAGAAAGAAAAAAATAGAAAATGTGGAAGCTGTGTTTTCAGCTTAGCCTGGAGGATTTTACAAAGAGTTGAAAATTAACAGGCCCCCAAACCCAAGGTCTCTGGCAATGATTCACTGTGCATTTGTTAAAATGTCGAATAATTACTCTTCCTCCATTAGGGAGTGCTAATTGTTTCTGAACACCAATACAACAGAGTTTAAGGAAATTGCTGACTACAAAAATAATTTTATCCCTTAAGTCCTGTGCAAATGAGAAATATTATTAACATTTGAAGACAGCAAGCATCTTTTCTGGGATTGAAATGTTAGCAGGACATATTAACCAAGAAGGCTGAGAAATTATGCATCAGTTATTTTCATGAGTCAACTTCAAAAATTCATTTATGTTCTGTCTCCTGCAAAGATGAAAACTCTAGCAGATCCTTGGTTAACTCTTTTGAAGACAGCAGTTTGCCCACCAGTTATGACTGAATCAGAACTTCCACTGACTTCTTAAGGAATATTGAGAGAAAAAGTGTACCTTATTCCTTATTCAAGCAGAATAATATCAGAAGCTGTTAGGATTATCTGGATGAGCAGCAGAGTGTAATGTTTCACCAAGACTTTGAGATTAGAGCTTTTCTGCTTCATTCCAGATAACTGTTCTGATTATTTCTCATCTAATCTTTACTTCAAGCCTCAGTTTAAGGGATTATTGATGGAGACACTGGAGTTAAGTGATTTAATGAAGTGTCTTCAGTCAATATGAATTTTAAGTTTTCCCTTTCCATAAGGGAAGACTGTGTAATATTTATTACTAATACAGAGAGTAAAGAAAGCCACAGCTGATTCTGCCTTTAGACATAATCAGAAACTCAATCCGTGCCATTGGAAGTGGCATATTCTGAGGAACAAACCTGTGCCACAGCCATGTTGCCATCCAAGGACATGGGAGAGATTTTGAGCTATCTGGCCTCCATTATTTCCATTTGAAGAAATGGGTTCCAGATGATTGTGGGTGAATTCAGATCCAGGCCCAGATCTGAATCCAGACATTACCAGAACAGACGTCTGATAGGATTTTTCAAGCACCAAACAGGGTGTTCCAAAATGTTGGAATTCCAGCTGAAAACATTGGAATTCTAAGAAATTCTGCAATTCACAGAGCACATCCAGAAGTTCTAACATGGCTGATTAATGGTCACAGTCAACCTGCAGAAAAACAGTAGTGGGTGGTAAATTTGCTACTGGTAACAAGAGCATGAAGGGGATCAACCTGGCCCTGCCTGTGTGCAGGAACCTGCAGTGTCTGGGCAGGAAAGGAGGGTCACCAGTCTCTTGAAAACCAGTTGGAAATTATGTGAGCTACCAGTGGACTTAGTACATTTTGAAACGATCTGTCTGAAATCACGTCTTTGGTTTGGTTTTTACTGGCAATTGAGAAGAGAGGAGAATATGGGGCTTTTGTGAACAAATTCACATCTAGCTGTCAAAGGTGCAAATCAGAAAAAAAATCCCCAAAAGGTAAAGGCTGCTTTGAAACAAAGTTGAACTGTATGCTCAAGGTCACAGCAGAAATCAAGCAGGTGAGCCTGATTTCCAGATGCTCTCAAAGGCAGTGCAGGTTTCCTCAGATGAGTGGATGATACTCAATCCTGTGTGCAATGCAAAGTCTTTGACTTGCTGCAAAGTCTGAGACGTGTGCTGCCATGGCACTGGAGTTGTGTGTCAGAGAGAAGAGGAAAGGGGATGGGTAATCAGGGAATCCAGCAAAGTGGAATTTGGTGAAGATAGGACAGGAAGGGAGATACAGTGTGAGGAACAACTGGCTGTAAATACCAGTGGAGAGAGGAGGTGGGGATCAGCTGGGAGCAGTTTTCCTTTGAAAAGGCTTTTAATCTTGCAATTTATTCCCACAGTGTTTTATAAAGGCGAACACAGAAAGCCTTCACTGTAGCTGCCTTAACTGAAAAGCCTGTCGTTGGATTCTTGTTTGCAAGACAGAGTTTAGCATAGAAATGCAAGCCTGTGCAAAATCTGACACTTAAACATGATGTTTAATCATCCTTTGTGATTTCAATTTTCTTTGTTAACACAGGCACCGCTCTGTCAACGCGTACACAGCTGGTAGGAAATTTGTAATAATATGTATGAGTCTTTTAAAATAAATTAGTTAGTACAGAAATTCACACAGGACCAAGGGTTGCAGTCTCTATTCCTTTTTTTTTTCCTTTTCTCCAAACAATTCTAGTGCTTAGGGGCACTTGTCAGGGACCATTCTTCTGGACACTGTACAAACTCTGAACAAAATGGCAAAGTGTACACTAAAGACCTTACAATCTAAGCATGAGAAAGAAGATAATAAATGGCTACAAGCAGATAGGAGTGCAGAAGCAAATGTTTCTCTAAATGTCCTCTGTTAAGCTGTTAGTATGTTAAATAGAGCATATATAAGACATGGAGGGGTTTTTTTTCTAAATTACTATGTTTTTATAGAATAAAATAGCAATATTCCACCCTTAATGCACAGGTGAAACTGTATTTACAGAGGTTACATTCCTCCCAGTAATGCAGCATTTTTCATAGTTTAATTCTAGCCCCGCTTTTTTACAAGTGTTTCTAATGAAAATGGTCCATGAGCCTTATCCTTTCTTAGAATCTGCTGATGGATTTGCTAAGCAGCAAAAGGCAACTGCAGTGCACCATGCACTTTAGTGCATGATAAAATATTTCATGAGGCAAGGGGATCAGTCTTACATACAAGAAAAGGCATTGCTCTGGTCAAGTGAGTTTGCATCTGATTGTTATTTAAAATTGACATTTTCTTAGTGAACAACATAATCACAACCTGCTCTGGGTTTCCCTGACTAAAGATAACACTCAAGCCAAGAGAAGTTTATCTTTAGTGATTAGTAAATTGTATACTTGGAAAATTCTAGAAATTCTTAGTAATCGTACACCTCTAATTTGCTATTGCATTTTTTCAAATGACCCACTGTGCCTAGAGAAATAAATTATTAAAGACAAACCCCTGTATTCTTAAGTCAAATAATTCAACAGCAAGATTTTAGATTACCTTTGATTTTGGCATTATATTTACAAGCCTTGGAATACTACTCTATGATTATATCAGAATTCCTCTTCAGTTGTTCCACTTGAAATTACATCTTCCATTTTCTCCAAGTAACTACTATAAATTAAAAGCAGCTCTTCGGAGATGAAGTTTACTGAAGCTCCAAATCATGGTAATTAAACTTTTACACCACAACACACTACCATGTGTTTCCAGATATTATTTTATAGAAATCAAAGGCAGACTTTGTCCTGTCATTTTTTCCAATATTTTTAAAGGAAGATATATATGAAAAGAAGTATAGTTGGGTGGGAAAGGCTTTTCACTCCACAAGAATTCTGGGATCCAAAAAATTTTCCTATTCCACATAAGGAAGAAATTGAACTCTTTCGAAATTTTCCATGAAGAAAGCCACAGAGAGACCACCCCAGGATAGCTAATAAAGTCGTTGTTAGGACATTTACTTGGGAAATGGGAGACTTAGGGTCAAACTCTTGCCTGACAGATGAGGGGCATTGACCTGAATATTCCTCTTCCTAATGAAACACCCTAATTACAAGACATTGGAGTATAGTGATACAAGGTTTGCTGTCTGGTTCTGTCTTTTTCATTTAGACCAGAAGTTTGAGCTTGGACCAGAAACATCATGCTAAGTAAAATTTTGTCAAAACTGATAATGTTTCTGAAAAAGCTTTGCTTGTAAGAAATTGGCATTTTCCAATGAAACACAGCTGTCCCTGATCAGTTCTTATTGTACGTTGTAAGCCAGAGGTTTTATGGCCAAGATCTATGGATTACTGCATTGTTCACAAGTGGTAAAGCCATGCATAAATTAGGCCTCTAATTCCAATTAAGTGCTAATTCTGCGTATCCTATGAGTTATGTCCTGGACTATAGTACATCCTAAGACAGTTGCCAGTAATGCAAACAGGAACAAAGGTAACTTAAGACATATTATCTCAACAATGTTCTGGTGAAATAGTACATGTATAACTGGCCAGACTCTGTCTTCTTATATTTAATACTCATGATTAAAAGCTGGATTGAAATGACTAGAAATAGGTTTGTGAACAGAAACAGATTTTTTTCAACATCCTTTAATAAAATGCAAGAAAGTAATAGCAATAGTGGCAGGGTTTTTCTTCAAAGGCTCCCATTTTATCAACTTTGTGTTTCTCTGGGTCTTCAAAATCCTTCCCATTTTAACCTAAAACCTAAGGACCACCTTTTATCCAGTGCAGCATGAGACATACCCCTTTTTCAGGGGATGGGGCTGAGGAACTGGACTTCACCATGGGACACTGCTCAGCTACTTTAATGCTGGAGAGACCACCTGGATGTCAACGTGGTGCAGTTTTCAGCACTACTTCCCACTTCTCACCTCTCCAACCAATGTCCTTTGCTGGCAGCATTCCACAAATATTTTACTGCATGTCTTTTACCAGAGTCTTCACTGAGATTTTGACTAGAACTAATCACTTATTCAAAAAAATTTAAACAGGAGCTGCTCAGGCTATTTTACAGCAGATACTACACTTGATTGATAGGGTTAAAATTAGGGAGAAGTGTGTCACAGCCTCAACTCTGAACTATGTCTCTTAATTTTTTAGTGAGTGAACTATTGTGTCATTTTGAATGAAACTTAAGCACACTGAAAATGAGGTTTAATACAAATACAGATGAATAAACTGTAAAAGGCAATGCTCAGTTTGTGTTTATACATTTGTGTTTATTCAGAGCAGACTCTCTTTTTGCAGATAGCCCTTTGTTTAAAATGTCTTTTTCCACTATAATCTATTTAAAGATGAGTTTGATGACACAAAACTGCAGACATGACAACACACTAAATATTTGTATGCTCTTTTGCATTTTTAAGGTTTCCTCCAAACTACAGCTGATGAGTTTTGCTATTACTATGCAAGAAAAGATGGTGGTGTGTGCTTTCCAGATTTTCCAAGAAAACAAGTGCGAGGGCCAGCTTCTAACTCCCTGGACCACATGGAAGAATACGACAAAGAGGAAGAGATCAGCAGGTTCATAAAGATAAATGCTGTTTAATGCTGAAAAAAACCCCCTAGCAAAGCCTGTGGTTTTCACAGTGAAACAGCTCCGTGTGTGCTTATGCTGAGCAGCTGTTTTTTCCAGATGTGACTTTCCTTTGCTGCTGCTAGAGTACGTCAAAAGAGAAAGTTACACGGGCTTCAGCACTTCAGTACCATTTGATATTTGCCTTGCTGAAAAGGTGTTAGAATCCTGCTCTGATCCACCCTGTGGATCTTGGTTATTGTCCAGCCCATGGATCATTCATAGTTCTGGGAAGTAATCTGTACCTAAATTTAATATTACTAAAAAACAGCAATAAGTTTATTAGTAAATTTATGTCATCATCTTCAATTTATTTCATTTGTGGAGGGTTTTTTTGTGAAAATAATTAAATTAGATTATTCCATCATAAGTCATTATTTTAAAATGGATATTAGAATCCAAATTTTATCCAAGTGATGAAATTTACTCTGTTTATTTTATAGTAGAAATTCTGTATTTCTAAATTATTCTCTTCTTTCACCAACTTTTTTTCCTCTCCTATTGCTCTACATTTTGGATCTAAGTTTATTTAATGTTCTCATTTTTGTATGCAGACCAAATTTTCCTCAAGTGAAGTTAAAGCTGATTTTCTGTATTATATGCTTGCATACATTCAAGGGAATAATTTATCCACATTAATATATTTTAAATGTTTTATTATAAACCTGTTTTTAATATTATTGCACAACAATAATTTTATCTTTTTGGGACACTGTTGTGTCATGGTTACGAGAAAGAACAAATGTCTCACTATTTCTTTAAATTTCTTTAGAAAACACAAGCACAACTGCTTCTGCATTCAGGAGGTTGTGAGTGGACTGAGGCAGCCTGTTGGAGCAGTACATTGTGGGGATGGATCCCATCGCCTCTTCGTTCTTGAGAAAGAAGGATACGTGAAGATCTTCACTCCTGAAGGAGACATACTCAAGGAACCTTTTTTGGATATACACAAGCTTGTTCAAAGTGGAATAAAGGTTGGATTTTATACTTACCTCTACCTTTTTATATTTTAGCCTGTATAAGGGCGAAATGGGAAGAATATTTTTTAGGTATAATTCAATTTAAATAACAAAAAAGAGTAACAAGAGATACCACAGTTCTTTCTGGCAAAGAAGTGAAAACTCATAGTGGGAAGGGAAAACAGCATCTTGTAACTCTTATCAAACTATTTTCTTTCCCTTCATTTTTTTTCCTTGCTTTAAATTCAAATGAAACTATTTAGCACCAGCATTCCACAGCAGTATCTTTGTATTTTCATCCTTTGGGCTCATTTCCAGCCCACTGAATTCAGATGAGTTTTGCTGTGGAGGCAGTGGGACCAAGTTTGGCTCAGGGCTTCCCCTGCCCTCCAGGTGCTCGGTGATGCCTGGAGACCTGGACACAGGAGAGGGCCTGGGAATGGTCAGGGATGCCCTGGAGAGGAGCAGGGGTGCTCATTCCCTCTTGGCTCAACCCCAAATGTAGCCCAAGCTTCCCTGGGTGGGAGGCTGCTCTAAAACTGTGTGTGTTGGAGGGGCACATAGAAGTGACTAAATTCTAAACTCAATTCTAAATTCAAACATGAGGGTTGGTGGGATGAACAGCTTCCTTCCTGTCCACTGGGAACGCTTTTGTGGTTGGGGCAGTGAGTGGGGAATGGGCACTGATGGGAATATGTTGGAAGGTGGAGGTGAGAAATTACATCTAGTTATGGGGTAAGTACCAATGGAAAACTTTTAAGTCTGTTGGAAGATATTTTACTTCTGGAATGCTGGAATTCAAGTGTTGTTCCATGTTGATTTCTTGTCACAATTCAGAGTGGTAATGCAAGTAAAATTCAGCTACATAAAGAAGTTTTAAGTTGTAATCAGGTTATGCCTAGAACAGTCAGGACTCTATCAAAAAGCCTTCATGGATGAAAGTTATATTGACACACTCTTGACAGAGGGATCTTAACTGATAATTGTGACAAACCAGGTCAATTTGGAATGCATAGCACATGTTAACTGATAATTTTGTTTCAGCTGTAAGGGCAAGAGGCCAATTAGGATAGACTTTTCTGAGAGAGAATCTCAGAGGTTTTTAGTGTGTATTGAAAAAGAGAGCAATGAAACATATTGCCCACTTTTCAGGAGAAAAAAACCTACTTTATTTGATTATGTATTTTGCTGAATGCTTCCCTTTCTGTCCCTGAAGATAACCATTATGTTCAAGATATCCAAACAGAAGGGACTTATCAGGGGTGGTTTTGAACACCTAAGGCTGTTTCATATTTCTTAACCAAAAGTTCTGATCACTTGTACTTGTGGAAAACTGACAGTGAAATTTCCACAGAACTGTTATTGGTCCCAAAGGAACCTTTCTTGAGGAAACTTTTACAGCTGCAACTTAGAGACAAGGCTGAATGGAAAACTGATTTTCCATGCTTCTGAACAGGCACTAACCTGCTTGATATGACTCCCAACAGGTACCCTCAGGATCAGATACAACTTTCAGTTCTGTTTTAAATCCGTGACCTGATCTTTTTAAAAAATCATCATGTAATGGTCTACACTGGATCTGTTTCAACTATAACATTTTGTGTAAATAATTTGATGTTTCTAAGCTAGAAAGTCTAATTCAATTCCCTGAGATAACAGTCCAGTGACTGAGGATAATTGTGTTGCAGTGTTTAATGCAGGCTGGCAAGAATGGAGGCTTTATGTACTTTGCAGGGAAGGAGAAAGGGAATGTGCCTAGGAGCAGGACTCCAGCTCTTAAATAGAAAGAGTAAAGAATTTGTGGAATGAGTACATTACATAAAATAATAAATAAAACAAAAACCCCAAACCTCCTATAACCTAAATTATAGTTTTAAAACAAGGGTTCTTAAACATTTTTACATTTGCAGTCTAGTTCCTATAATCATTGTCCATGGTCCCTTACCCACAAGGATGGGAGATCACTGTGGCAATGGCAGCATTGTCACTACTTGACAGAGTATCGGGTTTTACTTACCTGTTACACACTTCAATACTAGAAATCAGTAATGGAGAATACTCTGTGGACAGATAATTTTCCAGCAGGCAGTGCAGAACAGGCAGCAGTTACAAAAACCTCAACAAACCACTCTGTAAAACACTGCATCCACTTGCACAGTGCAAACATCATGGAATGTGTCCTCTGTGCTCACTTAGGAACCATGTATAGTGCCAGAATTTGGATATATACACTTTGAAGAAAACAAAAACTGCTCATCTGTTTTCCAGCCTCAGAGCAATGATACCAAGAAAAGGCAAACTTTTTTTTCCCCCTAAAAAGAAGTGTAAAAATTTTCTCTCTTACACTCAAGTGTCTGAAAACAGACACTTCTGCTATTTTCTTTCTGTACCTGAAATACAAACAAATACTTAACTCCAGTGACAGTAAAAACAGCAAAAATACTTTTTCAGAATTTTAGAGACATATGTTGTACTCAGTAAATAATTAGTATAATGATAATTGCAATGCCAATAATGCAGCTGTGGTTGAATCAAAGGTAATATAAATTGATGCCTCTGAAAAGAATTTTGGACAGCTATCCCATTAAGATATTTATAATACCAATAGATGGAATAATATAGTGGTGGCTAATTTTGTCTTCTTTTTTAATGTCAAGAGGAAATTTAGCAGCGATAAAATCATTATATTTTCATAAATTAGCAAATCTGTTCCAAAGAATCAACTTAAAACTATCCTGAAGCTGATATAACCAAGAAACTGAAGTGATATATTTCCTTCATAAAAATAATCCTGGAGGTTGGTTTTAATTTCACTAACATATTTCACTCATTACAGCACTGGCAGTCAGATAAAGAGAAAGACAATAAATACAAAAACAGAGGAAGAGAAGTGATTGCATTGTACAACAAAAAGTCATGTTTCCCTCCTAAAAAGATGCCCTTTTGTTTCTCTAAAGGATCTACTGATCCCTGTATTGGTGGAATTCATTTGAAGCCCCTAGCATTGCTCTGAGCACCTTTGTAGGGCTTCTTCATGGGCTCTGCTGCCCTAAGCACATCATTTGGATTGTCTGGGCTTGCTTCTTGTCCATCACTCCTGGGAAGGTCTGTGGATATAAAAAGAAAGTAAGTGAGAAGAGTGGTGCAACTCTTTGCCCAAGTTTTATTGGTCCTTTGGCTTTTAATGTTCATTGAAGTCACTGAGGTTCTCTGCTTGAAAACTCTTGCTGCAGTGCAATTACTGACAGTTACATGATTGAATTTTAAGGAGTTCAAATTAAAAAGGAGCAGTGATAATTTTATCTGCTGCCAGTATCTCAGAAGGAATTAGCACAAGTGTGGAGAAGCATTTCATAACAGAGATAGATTTCATGAATGGATTATAGTGACTTATGCTTCTTTGTGGTCCTACTCAAGAGAATATTAGATGCAGGATTCCTGAAGATTTAAAAAAAAATTTTAAAAAGCTTAGGAACCAATTTTTCTTTGCACGTCTCCTAATTTCTGCACAGTTAGCAGGAATGCTTTTTTGATCTCCTATTTTTTAACTTAGTTGTTGGAAGCCATGAATGGATATTAATCAAGAATTTGCTAATTCAACATCTGTGGCCTTCTCCACTGCATTTTATGTCACCCTGGCTACAGAAGTATTGCCAAGTGTGGACACTTGGCCAAGCCCCTCCTGTCACCTCCTCCCCTGCCTCAGGAATGTGGTGACAAGAAAAATCCGTGTACCTTGGTCTTGCCTCAAAGCTGAGCGAGGACATGAGTGAGACAAGGACCCGTAACCCAAATCTAGGCCATGCACCTGGCTCAACTATCTAGGAATATCTAGCCCAGTGTAGTGGAGAAAATATCAATTCAATCTCCTAATATTCCATCTCCTAATATTCCATCTCCTAATAACGTGCCCATTAATATTGCAAACTACCCAGAGTGTATACAGAAGAAAAGAATGAACCTTTTACCAAAAAAACCCCTCATACGACACCCAAACTAAAAGTCTGCTTTCCCTGTTTTGGTGATTTACTGCTCCGTTGTGTTGTGGTGAAGAGAGTTGTTAGTTGCAGAGCAACATTTTACAGTTCTTCCTTCAAAGTTATGTAGCAAAGACAAATTTTTAATGAAAATATTAGAACCCATTTTTTCTTTGTCTGTTTTTCACTGCTGTTATTTTCTTTCTGTTTTAAACTATTGCCAAGTAGAAAAGAGGCAGAAAGTTGAAATGAGAAGCTATTAAACTAATAATGGTAACACTTTAAGTGGCATTTAAGGAGACCTTATTCAATTATCTAGAAAATTTAGACCCGATGTGTCTGAATCTCTTGTCAAAATTTAGGCAAAAAAATTAAACGCTCCAGAAGTATCATGCAAATCTGATTTTATCTCATAATGCTCTCAGCAGGGGAAAAAAAAGTGTCAAAACATTCCAAACACTTGGATTTAATGATTTCCTGAGATGTAACAAGGCTGAATATGCTGCTTTTATAAGATCAGTCCAGTCACCTGCTACTCAAGATTGTATCTAACTTACAGAAAAATGGTCAATGCTGTAGCAGTTCTCCAAATTTTTATACTCCTGTGACTGTATTTTATCTTATTAACTGTATTATTTCCTAAGATTTGGAAACCTTTAGGTTAGCAGCAATCACCATAAAATATAGCACAACCTATTACATCAATTTTCACTTACTTTCTTTTCTCCTGAGCCCAAAAACCTGTATTGGTCTAAATATATTGTTCAGAAGGGAAGGCATCAAGGTACGGTTTGGCAACTACAAAAAAATTAGGAACTTAGCACGTCTCTTGGGAATTAAATGCTATAATCACCTTTCAGGATACTTTCTGAAAAGCTAAGTAGCTCTAGGGCTGCAACTGTTCGTCCTTAAATCATTTTTGTGGTCCTTCCCTATAATCATTCAACTTCCCCAAATCCTTTTAAAACTAAGGACCTCAGAACTGTACAAAGTAGCCAAGTTTACATCTTACTGCTGCCAATGGTAAAATCAAGTCCTTGTAGTTAGAAGGTCATTTTCTACTTATAAATCCACTGACTGAACAAGCTCTTTAGGCACAGAATTGCAGCAGGGCTTCACGTTCAGTTGCTTGTCATCTCTGATCCTTAGGTTATTTTCAGTTTATTGCTTTTTTGTTTTGTTTCCTTTTCTTTTCTTTTCTTTTTGATTGTGACTAAGCTCTGGTGCAGCTCTGGTGTGTATCTGCTGGCTACAGGGTCATAAATTGCTCAGCCAGCAAGAACGGCTGCACTCTGCTGCACTTTGCCTCACACAGTGCTGAGAGCAGAAACCCCTGCAAAATGGGTGTGCTTAAATTTGCCATTGTGCAGTTACCACTTGCACTTGTGTAGAGATTCAGTTATTTATATTTTTTTAGCTGGTAATAAAATATTTCTCATGTATCTCATGGGAATATGATGATAAAGGGCAAAGTCTCTGAGGAAGGAAAGGGCATGGCAGGAGAGGGAAGGGAAAAGGGACAGAAAATTTCAGTTAAGTGATATCAGAGATCACCATTGAGAACATATGAGTTAAACTCTACCTCTGTCACCTTCTCTAAGATTATGGTTTTACTTGTCAGAAACACTTAAACAGAAACTTCTCCTAAATTTTGAGCCATAGTCACCTTCTTAGTTCATCTTGCTTTCAAACTAATACCAGTAAGACTACTTTATGTGAGGTTTTTTAATTCCCAAAGTTTTTAAAATGCTATATTCCTACTTAATTCATTACAAATATTTTAACAGTCAGTTCTCTTTGCAAGGAAAAAAAACTCCACAGAAATATGTGACAATTTTTTTTAAGTGTATGCTCAGCAAATTTCCCAGTAATAGCCTTTAGATGAGTTACAAGTTAGATATATCTCTTGCTGTGTTTTCATAGTTTTTTAATCAGAACACAAGTGCTTTCAGTCCTGCAGAATATTATTAATGAGTGATCCAGTGACTCAGGTAGGAATTTTCTGTGATGCCATGAAGACTGCTGTGGAACGCAGCAATTCATATGTTCAGTATAAGAGTATGGGAGTAGACTGTCAGGCATTAAACATGTTAACTGTGCTGCTCTGAGCCAATTATTCCAGAGTTTCTCAGGATCAAATAAGCATCTGGTCACCACAGGCATCTTTTTGCTGGAATGCATGATTAGTGGTGGAACATCTACTGTGCCTTCATGGTTGTGTCAAGATATTGGAACAGACTGCCCAGGAAGTGGTGGAACCACCACCCCTGGAGGTGTTCAGAAGGCAGGTGGATGTGACACCTGGGGACGTGGTTTAGTGGTGAACATGGTGGTGCTGGGTTCATGGTTGCACTTAATGATCATAGAGGTCTTTGCCAAAGTTAATGATTCCATGATTCTGTGACATTTAATCATATGAATATGTATTACTCAGGTCATTCAACATATAATCAAATAATTGTTTCGTTAAATTGCCACTACCTCCAGCACTGGAAGAGCCTGCTCCAAGAAGCTTATAAGAGGTTGTGCTGTCTTTGCAGTGAGGAGTGGCTACAAAATCTACAGTAAGCCAGGGATAAAATCTATTTAAAACTTGATGTGGGAATCAGATTGTGTTATTTGCTGAATTGCTCAGTTCTGTCACTGATAAAACTTCTCACATATTCCTCTTGACTGGATGTGTACATTTGTTCTTGCATCTTGCTGATGCACAGACAGATCTAAGTTAACACATGCACTGTCCATTGATATCCACAGGATTTATGTTATTGACAGAATGATTCACATAATTCACATAATTCATGCTAATCCTTCCATCCAAGTCCAGTAATTTCAATTTATTTCCCTCTGAACACTTACATGGATGAGGCTGAAATCAATGAACCTTTTTTGAACTTTTTGCCCTGACATCACAACAAGCTGTGCTCTCCTCCACTAAGCACTAGCTTGTACTCTCCACAAAGGTTATTTGCTCTCTGCTCCCTTGAAAGCCAAACTTACAGTGGCTACTAAATTCATGACCAGTTAGTCCTGAAAGGCATTATTTTGATGTATGGAGAGACAGGGGAGCAGTGGAAGGTTGTATTTCTCTCTGGACACTGGAAGGACAACTGAGAGGTCCTATATGAATTTCTTTCTTCTTCAACCCAATGAGCCTGCAATTCTTCAGAGTTATTCATCAGAAACAGATTGTGAAAACTCAGATAGTAAATTCTCATTGTCCTACCAGACCAAGCTCTCAGCTCTATATGAAGAATGGGGATAGTCCTTTAAAATAACAATGTTGAGGCACAGAACATTAAGTGTGACATATATTCTATGAGGAACAAACCAAGATTTCATTTTCATTCCATTCTACAATTAACTGCACCAGTGCTGAGTGCAAACTCTATTTGCTGTCCTGCTCCTGTACTTCTAAGAGTACTGAAATGGTAAATCCATGTAAGACATGTGCATATGCCTAGGCAGGGGGGCAAGGTGAAAGAAATTATTGACATACAGCAGTGATACCTGTGGGGTATTTTTGGTTGTCCTGGAACTCCTCTTTCAGTGTATGAAAAGGGGGATTCCAGCATGTCTTTGGTGAGAAACTGAAACACTACATTGCCTGTGTTGTTGCAAAAATGACAGACCTTGGATTTCTCCTGGAGACTGCAGAGGGAAGTGATGACAGGGAAGTGATGTAGACTATTTTTCAGCAGGACTTGCAGTTGAAGTGATGTCAGGTCCCAGGACATGGGAGTTTCTCACTCATCTGAGAGGTCAGAAGAACAGCAGTCAGACCTGTGGCACAACAGACATAATTTTTGAGGCCACACCTCACCTGTGAGCTGCCCACTAGGCACCACAATTAATTGCTTTTAAATGTCTTGACATAACTGGAGCAGAAAACTCAGGAAGAAATAATGGTTAAGTGTGAAAATGGCCAAATGTGAAAAAATCAGGACATTTTAAAGATAAACCACGTAGAATATCATTGTTTATAGTGACCTTAAACAGTAACAAAACAGACACAATATTCTGCATGAGAATTCAGCCTTCTTCATGAATAGGAAGATTTTTTTTTCCTTAATCAGTGATAAGTTCTTTGTAATTTTTGAGAGGGCGACATTGCTATTGTGAGGACTTAATATACTTTAACTGTGTTCAGAATCTGTAAAATACTGCATTTTAACCAAAGATTGTATAATGACAGTGAAATATGCCTGGATTTCTTATTAACCATTTGCAGATTTTGGTTCTAATCCTAATAGGGACACAACAGGCCTTTGAAAGAGGTTGTATCCTAGCACCATATAGCTTTGTTAAAAATGAAGTTTTTTACCATCTAAAAAGCATGTGCCAAAAGCTCTTAGAGACCTCTATTTTTGTGTGAGAGCCTGCACTAGATAACCATACTGGAGCTAGCAATTGTGGAACAGTGCAGTGGCTCTCAGGTTGTAAGCTGACCAGATGAAGAATTGCCAGTTTATTGTGAGGAAATTTGAATCAACAAAACATAATCGTGTCTGTTGATTTTGGGTAGCATGTCTCAGATTTGAGGAGCTGAGGGGGGAAAGAAGATAATACTTTATCATTTTACATGCACATGTGTAGATTTTAATGTTCTGTGTTTCCTTGAGAGGAATCCCATGGTGCCAATTAACCTAACTTATTCCAAAACAATTCTCTGTTTGGAAAGAATAATTTTCATTGTGGGTGTTCCATGAAATTGTATGCCTCATACCCTGTTATTACTGAGATGTGTGCAGTGCAATTGAGAATGCCAGTTTCTTTTCCATGCTCTGTATAGATTATAGCTGTATCCCACACACAGTGCTAGATAATCCCTACTCTAATTTTGTTATGTGTACAAATCCTTTTTGAACATTTAGCGGTTTAAAAAATGTAAAAATCCATCATCTTCTGAAACTACATTTGTTAAAACCAAAAGCTGAATTTAGAAGTGATCAAAACCAATGAATAACATGGCAATTATCTAATTAAAAGGAAATTATTGCTTTTGCTGAAATATAACAGGCAGATCATGATAGCCAACACAATATGGCAAGGAAGGAATAAAGTTACGCAGAAAATTCCATGGTTTTTAGCCAACACAGTTTCAACCACATGTTTTTCTTTATTGGGAGGAGGTTTAACAGTCCACTTAGGCTCCAGGATTCATCATCCCTTTAAGCTCCTGGACACCCCAAAAACTGTAATGAGGTCCTAAGAATCCTTCAGGGAATCCATGACACCCCAGAGCCCTCGAAACCAGTCTGTGTCCTTGCGGCTTCTTCTCTGTGCTTTCCGGTCCACCAGAGCTAGGATTTCCTTTTGTTACATCCCTTGTACTGTGCCACATGGAAAAAGGGTCCTGTGTTTGTCTTAAAAGAGGTGAAAAATTGAGTAACACATTTACTTTCATAGTTAATACAGCCCAACTGCTATTCCTATATATATTTTCCCCAGATGCCACAGAACAATTTTCTTTTATATCCTCTTACACACATTTTCTCACAAGCTCTTAAGTCTTATTCCTTAGACAGGATCAGCAAGTTGGGCTGAGGGAGGAACACTTCCTCCAAGGAGCACTGGTATATTATCATGTTTTCCACCCATTTTATCCCCTCTGCAGTAAAAGTTGGACAAATGATCTGCCCCTAATTAATGGTTTATATATAATCTTAGCTTTAAAAAGCAGTCAGAACTAATTTTTCCCATTACCAAAAACATAAAAAGCTCCAAAAGATGAAACCACTTAGTAGCTGACACTTATTTTTCTTCATTGTCAGTGTCTGCCTACATTCTCATATTGCTGGAATTTTTAAAGAAATTATTCCATAAATCTCAATAAAGTAATATTCTCTCTCAGATTTAATTTGGAAAATGGAATATACAATCTGTGGGAGAGAGGTCTGCAAAATACTTTCAACCATTTGTTTTTAATTTACAGCAGATACTTTTTAAAACCTTGATCTATCTTCACTGGCTTTGGACTGCAATCCCTACAGCTGAATTGCAACAACTTTAATTTATGTAATAATCATTATTTTTATGCTAACTGAACGCCTTGAAAAGGAATAAAAGAGGGAGTAAATCATCCAAAAACTTTTATATTTTTGGCATTCTTAAAAATTTGGTGAATCTCCCTCAGCTGGATTCTCAATCACTGTAATAGCCCAGAGGCAACACACAAGTGGTAGTAGATACATGGATCTGAGTGAGCTGCAGTGGTTTATTTAATATCAAACTTGCTTGAGCTCTTCCTTAAAGAAAATGCATACCATAACAAATTGGATGCTTAATTGTTAGTAATGAACGTAAAATGGTATTGTGCACCTCACAGAGGCCTGGTTGAAGATGTGCCCAAGCACTATTGACTCTCTTTATCAAGTAGCACACCATGTTTAGGGCTGTTAAAACCCTGAGCACTTCAAAGATCTCATCAAATCAAAAGGATCTCGGATCAGAAGAGAGGGAATGTGGAACTTCCGTTGCTGCTGTTTTCCTTCCCCATAATGGCCTTCCAAGATATGGCAGGACAATATTATCAGGACAGGATTGCTCCAGTGACTATTTGAGGGAAGGAGCAAGAAGTCACAGTGCTCTCATGTAACAAGGAGGTGTGTGCCTGGGTAAATAAACCAGGAGATCAAATAAACCTTAACAAGCCACCTAGGAGATCACTCCAGTTTGCCCCTACAGTGTCTTACAGATCACAGCCCTGCCAAACCCAGGGTGGTTCCAAACATCATGTCCAAAGTCTGAAGCAGCAGACAAATCCAAAAGTAGGGAATATTAGGGAACTGCCTCACAGAAACCAGCCCCTCTGGGGTTTTACCCCTCTCCTAGTTCTCTCTAAGTGGGAAAAACCAAAACTATTTCAGAGACAGGATCCATGTTTCTCCAAAGGCCCATGGGGCTGGGAGGACTGCAGGTACAATTGGACCAAACCCTTTATGTACAAATGTTTGGTAAAGAAATGTTTAATGGATTACTTAATTCAAAAGTAATGTCATCCTTGAAGCAGAAGCATTGAAAATTCTGGTTTTTCTGTAGTTTAGTGAGTCAGCATTTTGTAACTTGCAACATTTAGCACTTCTTGTAGAGATACATTCTCCCTACAAATTATATTGTCTATTAAAAATTTTTGCTTTTAAATGAGTTTGTTAAACTTTTACGGTACAAATAAAAAACCAAAAGGAACATAGGTCAATATAACATAGTTCTGTTTTGTATAAAATGCATATACATTTCATCAATGTGTATATATTTTATTTTACCATCTGCATAAATATTTCAACTTCTAGAAGTAAGTATCCTATGGAAAAAAAGGTAGCAAATGACGAAGGGAAGTGAACTTAATTTGCTCCTTACTAACCTAGTAACTTCTGAAATCACTTTATATCAATGGTCAAAAAAAATTGCAAACAAAATGCATGAAAGAAAATTACTTTCAATCTGAACAGAACTAAAATTATTTCTAATAGGGCCTGATAATTCCTTTATTCAATAAAACAAAAATGTACCTTCAACAACCCATGAATAATTTAGGTGAATTGAAACATCATGAGCTACAATCCTTGGTACTGAATTTTATTTACTTGATTTCCTTAAGTGTTGTAGTTCATCAATGTAGAAATTACAGATGATTTCATAAAAGTGAAGAGAATGTCTTATGCATGTGTTAGATATTCTAAATATGCAGCAAAGGGGAGGTTTTTGGGAAAAAAAAAAAAAGGAGCTTCAGAACTGAAGCACTGGGTTTTAAAACAGTGTCTGCAATGTGCTGACTTGGTTAGCAAATGTGTATGGCCACTGAGCAGTAAGCAGTGATAAAGCAGAAAGTGCAGAGGCTATTGCTGTGCTATAGTGTCACTCTGTCTGGAGCATTCAGAGGAGCTCCCAGGGCTGGACTGCACAAAACTTGCACTTCTTCCATTACGTTTCCTTGTTTTCTGTGTGAATTCTGCCCATTTACAAGAAGGTAGAATAGTGTTTTCTTAATGCTGTCCTCAAGCACACAATTCTTCATTTGATCAAAAACTAGTGGAATTAGGATTTGTGTTCAACTGATTAAAGGTCTGGTTCCAGGATACTTTGTTTCAGTTCTAACTGTTTGAAACTTTATCGTCTTAATTTTGAGACTGAACATACACTGTGTTGTTCTAATTGCACTGGCTTTTTGCAAAGAACTTTGTACTGTATTCAGCCAAGTTACAGGGTTTCCAAGATCATGGTCTTGGCTCAGGATAAATGGAGCCAATGAGCTAAACAAATTCCTGCTTTCTTGGTTCTTATAGTACGAGAAAAATGGAAAGAGCAGGATACTTTTACTGCTTTGTACAAGTGAAACAATCCTGGAAACTGCAAAAATGTAAGTTAGCTGTGTTTAGGTCAGAAAGACACACTATTTTAGAAATTATTTTTAGCTTTCTTTCAAAATGTGAACCACAAATTATAACATTAATGAAGCAAACCTTTCTTGGAAAATTTAAGAAAAGTCCGATTTAAGATAATCAGTTTGGGATTTAAAATAATAAAGAAATTGAGTCGAGTACCAAATATTGTGTTCTCATAACATGTAATAGTAACAGCTCTGTGTTGAACGAGGATACACATGTCTATATTTGTTTCAACTTCTGTTATTAAGAATGCTTTTCTAATGAGATAGATTTTAAAACTGGGGTTGAAATAAATGAGTAATGGAAAAAAAAAAAGAGAAGGGACTTCTAATCAGGAAAACAGTGTACATTCTTTCAAAGTCATGTTTATAAGTTCAGAGAAGCAGTGGATCTAGT